TTGCGGGAGGCAAGCTGATAACTCTCTTTTCAGGTGCCTAAACTCTAAACCCTAAACCCTAAACCCTAGGTCCAAGCCCACAGGGTAGGAGCGTCCGAGGTCTTTTGCGTGTCCCCAGTCAGATCCAGGCAGAGGGTTTAGGGCTTTGTCCATGTCGAGGGTTTAGGGTTTAGGGTTTAGGGTTTGGGGTTGTGTGTGCAGCTACGAACTACTGCAACCACCACCAAAACGCGGGAGCTCTTTTGTACATTCGGCGGGACTTGACAATAATTCCAAAACTGATTTATCCTGCAAACGCGCTGTCTCAATACATAACATGGTGAGGTGTACGTACACCTGGTGGCCGTGGCGTTCAAGTTTCACAGTGTGGGGGTGCTGAGGTGTACGTACACCTCGCGGCCATGCGCGTTCAAGTTTCCAAGTTTCGGGGAGGGGGGTCGGTTTGTGGGGATTTCGGGCTCGTTTTGAATATTTTTTGATTTATTTACTCTAATTTTATATTTTTATTTGTTTTCCGACTTTTCGCAAACGCAGGGACGAAAGAATGACTGAACTCCGGCCCCCCACGCCCCCCCGCACTCCTCCGCGCATGCGGGAGCAGCACGACTTCGAGGGATGAGGTGTACGTACACCTCACACGCGGTGTACGTACACCTCAGCCGCATGCAAATGCTTCCAAGTGCATGCAAGGCCAAGCTCAGGTGTACAGACACCGCGGCTGAGGTGTACGTGCGCCGGAGGCGCATGCAAGTGCATGCAAGTGCATGAGAGTGCATGCAGACTCATGGGTTGAGGTGTACGTACACCGCACTCGAGGTGTACGTGCACTTCCGGTGCATGCAAACGCATGCACGTGCAGGGGTTTGAGGTGTACGTACACCCGAGCGGCATGCAAACGCATGCAAGTGCTTCGGCTCCAGGTGTACGTACACCCGAATTTGTAAACCCTAACTCGACCGCTTGTCACCCCGAGGCATTCCCTCGCTCTTTTCGGGCTTTGTCTCATTAAGACTTTGTTTAGACCGTAAACCCTAAACCCTTCTCAGAGAGGTTTCAACCCTCCGTGGCTTGCAGTGCAAGCAGATAGCGACAGTGATGCAGAAACCCTAAACCCTAAACCCTAGGCGCCAGGCATAGACAGCTGTGCGCTGAGAAGCCCCGAGTGCTGCCTCAAGCTGCGCAATTAGGGTTTAGGGTTTAGGGTCATGGAATAAACACAAAGCATTCGAGTTAATATTTATTTGTATTACTACAAAAATTAAATTTATTTGCAAATGTTTATTTCCTTAGTTGCTGCGGATGCATGCATAGGGTGTACGTACACACCCGCATGCAGCACAAACCCCACATGTTTATTTTTAATGCAAAATAGATTAATTAATTTGATAAAATATTCTATAAAATGTTTAAAATGTTTAAAAATATTTACAAAACATTTAAATGGGATTTGAAACGCATGCAATATAATGCAAATATCCACGTTTGGGGCTGCATGCAAGCCAGGCAAAATAAATACGATTAAATGGGAATAAATACAAAATAATAAAAAAAAAGAAATATAATAAACATGAATAAATATGAATAAGTATAAATAAATAGGAAATAAATAGACATAAATGGATATAAATGAATATATAAGTGGTATAGAAGCTTAAATATAGTAAATACTTATTATAGAAATGCACTTACCCTTTAAATGAATTACTTCTAAAATGGCAAATAGAAAAAAGCCCCAAAACATGGATTTTAATCAAATCAAATGCATGCATTTAAATCCACTTGAAGTGCATATGCACTTCAGCAAATGTAATTTGAATTTGTGTTTACACAAATACTTACGTTTATAATTTTATTTATATTTGTACTTATGTCTACATTTGTATTTACATTTACATTTATACTTATATTCATATTTGCACTTATATTTATGTTTATATTTATGTTTCTATTTATATTTGTATTTATTTATGTTTGTTTCCATATTTGTATTTATATTCTTGTTACACTATTTGCAGAGAATATTTATATGCGCCATTAAGTTACATATGAAGAAATACACGAACAAATAAATTATAATAAATGTGCGAGAAATAAATAAATAAATAAACGAATAAATAAGTAAATACATAAACAAATAAATAGATAAATAGTAATTCAATATTTAAAGAACTAAATAATAAAAATATAATATCTTTGCGTAAATCCAGAAAAGGCGTAAACGCTCAGGTGTACATACACCTCAAACTTTATTTCAAAAATGTCCAAAATGGCGAAAAATAAAAAGAAAGGAAATGGAATTAAAGGCGCATGCAAGTCTTCAAGTAAAAGAAGAATGCAAAGAACAAAGTTTTCTGAATGTCACAAAAAGAAAACTTTTGGGAATTTTGGACTTTAAATAAATACGGAAGGAAAGGTTTTGCGAACTTTTTGAGTTTGAAACATCTAAGTTTGTCTTTTTGTTTCTTTTTGAGTTTAAAACCCCTAAAGTTAATTATTTATTTCTTTTGGAGTTAAAAACATTAAAAGTTTGATCTTAAATCTATTTGGAGTTTAAAATATCTGAAAGACAATAAATCTAAAAGTGCCTTTTCAAAAGCTCCAAAACACCTGGAGGCCGAAAAAGCCCCAAACTTGCATGCGCAGCAAAGAAGTGCATTTGCGGCTCGCAAACCCTAAAAAAGGGTTTAGAAGGAAGCGCAAGGGTAAAATCTCGGGCTCGCAAACCCTAAAAAGGGTTTAGAAAGAAGCGCAAAGGTAAAAACCCCCAAGTTCCTTTTGAGCGGAAGTGCGGCTGCGGGTCGCGGGGTGTACGTACACCCGAAACGGGGTGTACGTACACCCGAAGGCTGGGCGGGGTGGCGGGGTCTTTTTGCGCGGAAAAAGGCGGAAAAGGGGGGAAATAAAGTGGAATAAAAAGGGAAAATGTGAAATAAAGTGGATGAAATGAAAAGGGTTTGTAAATATTGAAGAAACGAGGGTTTGGGGGTTCAAAGTTCAGAAATCGGGGCCCCGGGAAAGCACTTCTTTGCTGCTGCTGCCCAGAAACACCGTGTGCTCCATTTGCGAAGTAAAAGCTCCAAAGACATCCGACAATGGCGGATAAGGAATTATCACATTTGCTTTCACCAGCTGCTGCAGCGCCATTTGGTGGTTTGCTGCTCCCAAGCTCGACAGCCAGCGCCGGCAAAACGCCAAAGTCCCGAAGTTCTGCAGCAGCAGCAGCAGCAGCAGTGAAGCAGCAGCAGCAGCAGCAGTGAAGGAAGCAGCAGAAGAAGCCGCAGCAGAAGTGAAGCAGCAGCAGCAGTAGCAGCAAAGCAGCAGCAGCAGCAAGGCAGTAGTAGGGGCAGCAGCAGCGCAGCAGCAGCAGCAAAAAAGGGAGGGGATGTGCTGGGCTGGCAGCAGCAACAATTGTACAGCTGCGAATACTTGTAGTGGCAGCAGCGGGAAGCTATTACACTTTAGAACAGGGTTTAGGGTTCGCGCGAGGGTTTAGGGTTTAGGCGAGGGTTTAGGGTTTCCGCAAGGGTTTAGGGTTTGCTCGAGGGTTTACGGCCGCAGACACTGGTAATCTGCAAATAGCCGCTCTGCTTCGCCGAGGGTTTAGGGTTTAGAATTTGAGGCCTGGGTTTGAGAGTTAAGGTTTGCTGCTGTGTTCTAGGGTTTGAGGCTTTAAAAAAGGGTTTACGGTTTAGGGTTTGGCCCTTCGGGTCTAGGGTTTGAGGCTGAGGGTTGTCTAGGGTTTAGGGTTTAAAGCGAAAAGAAGCTAAGGGCTGTCTAGGGTTTTGGGTTTGCGGCGTAGGACCCGAACTGAAGAGCCGTTGAGGGTTTAGGGTTTAGGGTTTGGGGAATTTTCTCGATGAGTTTGAGGCGTGTTTTGGTAGTTTTACGTCGTTGAGGGCGTAGGGTTTAGGGTTTGGATGCATCGTCGATGGTTTTGAGGAGTTCTTCGGTGGTTTTGAGTCGTTGAGGGTTTAGGGTTTAGGTTTTAGGGTTTGGAGTTTGGGGCACTTTCTCGACGAGTTTGAGGAGTTTTTTGGTGGTTTTGAGCCGTTGAGGGTTTAGGGTTTAGG